TGCTGACTGAACGCTGTAAAAATATGGACTGAAGAGGTGCTGCTGGCCCAGAGAGCTTGTAATCTGAGCATGAACTGAGGTGTGAAGGAAAACCAAAAGATACACACATGAAAGAGAAAGAAGCAGGAGTCCTTGTGCCACAGCCATTCTCACCGTCAAAATAGGTGTTTTGGCAATGGAAAATTTTAAAGAGAAGAAAATAAACAGGCAATGAGGCTTTTTTTTGAGACCAGTTCTTCCCCAGGTTGCAGTAACAAGGGAAGTGTAGGTGCCTTTGTTTAAAAACTTGAGCCAGAAGATGATGTTCCCAGGGAGGTAAAAGGAGATGTAATTCTGTTTCATACAAATGCGAGAGTCCATTTCCAGTCGATGCAAAGATGCATGGAATGATTAAAGCAACAGAAAAGGCCATTCATCTATTGTGGATGGCCAAGAATAAGGTAAAACTACACGTGTAAAAGACAGAGAAAAGAAAGTTATAATAGTTGGCACACAAGACTCTCAGAGACAGGAGAACAGATTCTCTGTGATTAGACAGGAGAGGCAATGTTTTAAGTGTCAAAGAACTTACAAGGAAGGGGTGTAATTTGAATTATGACTAGAGGTCAGAGCTGGAAATAATTGGTACTGTGTATAGATAAGTGTCCCTTCAGGGACTCTTCAGGAAATGCGGACTTCCTGCATCCTTTCCAGAAGCATTGACTTGCTCTCTCTCTCCAGCGTTCGATGGCTTTGGTAAAGGATATTTGTGGTGGTATATTTTTCCCTTTTTCTAAAGCTCATTTTCTCCCTTTTATCTTCTGTTCCCCCTGTTAGATTCATCTATATTTGTGCTGCATGATGTCACTACCTAACAACTGTACTAGCACAATCTGGCAGAATTCCTTTTTTTCCCTGAACTTCTCAAGCCTTCTGTGTGTCAATTGTTTGCTCTGCCATACAGAAGCAAAGAAAACATGTGGCCTCTCACTTAAAACTGGAGCAACAGTCTTAATAAAATGTCCTTTTCAGTGATGATACACTAAAATCCACATTGCTCACTGAAGACATGCAAAGAATGTTGTTTCAATCTGGGTCAGTGTTTGCTTGAATATTTTTGAGTTTGATCTGATTACAGTAATACCCTTTTCCTGTTCTGTTTTCTGGCAGCATTTGAGAGACTCTCTTGCAAACAAAAATGTGCACTGTAAGTATAAGTTACACAGGTACATGTTTACCTTCCTGGCATATCTACGGTGTGTTCTAGCTCAGCTGGAAGCAATGCCACTTGGCTTTTAAGGAGAGCTACATCTCCAGTTCTACTGAAGTGCTGTGCTCTGAATACTCACAGAGAATATTTTCCTTCTCTCCAGGTTTATGTTAATGTCTCTTGCTTTTTAATAATGGAGCTACATTCAAGGAATTTAAGAAAATCCCATCTACACATGACCAGGGCAGAAGGAACAGGGGAGTTAAATTCCTCTGCTAAATTGCTTGAAAATTACATGCTGAACTCTAATCCTTCAGGCATATGAAAGTCATGTGGGTAGTGTTTAAAAGACAGTATATTTGAGAATATTGAGTAACCCTATCCTTTGGCGTGTTGATGATAGTAAATAGATATTGTCTTCTATAAAAGCATTTAAAAGGAAGCTTATAAGTTGATCAGGACATTTAATCCATCGGTTTTCTTCAGATATGCTTACTGATTCTAGTCCTGCAGAAAAAATGTGTAGAAGTAGTGCCATTTTTAGAGGCTTGGGGGAAAAGGGTTATTTTAGTTTTTTGATACAGTTTTTTTGACAGGGCTCTTTGGATAGGAAGACAACACCAAGGTGCATGCGACAATACAGACATCTTTGTAGATTTAAGAGAGATCAGATGTGCACTGGAAGCCTTTGCAGAAAAAAATTCTCAGGATCATTTGGGTTTTTTTGTGTTTTCTTCCTTAAAGCCACATGGGCTTTGCTTCTACTCTGACGATGAGGAAAGGTACTACAAAGATACAGTACAGATAGATGGATCATTTATTAAAAAGTTGTCAGATATAGACTAGTATTTGCTTGTAGAAAGTCCTCCATAGTAATTTTCTGCTGTATAAGGTGTACCTTTCAGCCTTCTTTAAATTTTTGTTTCCTTCAAAAAAATTTCTCTCTTAAGATTTTAAATTAGTTAAAGGTCATAGAAAAATAACGCATGTAGCATGATAGCAGTAGGCACATGTAATCTAATCAGATACTCTTCTTGTACTTTGGTGTACTGTTTTTTCCCGAATTGTATCACAAAAGAGGAACTGTGACCAAAGCCCTGTGTGTGATGTGCGCATGTGCACATGTAACAGGGCTCTTAGCTGTAGGCATCAAACAGTTGGAATGAAGTCCAATCGCTGTGTAGTGTTGTCCTCTAATATGATATCCTCCCCAGAGTATTGTCTCAGGTGTAGCGGTGGGCATTCTATTGCAAGTGACAGCTTACGTAATTAAAAGTAAATATAGGAAGTACTGAGACAATGCATTTATTCAACCTAGTACAATAGAGAACTCATGTTACAGGGATGTCGTATCACATCTTTCTGATTGGCTGTAACAGAGTCAACTAACTCATCTCTTCCTAGACAAGCGTCCACTGATCTGCCTTATCTCATCAGACGTGTGCAAAATACCTGCCAGCCTTTAGTGCTGGGCATCATTAGGGCATGATTCAACAAATAGTATAAGGACAAAGGGCACTGAAAATATTTACAGCCAGTATCTTGTATGATTCAGGAGCTGAAAACTGCAGGCAGTGTTTCATTACAGAGAGGATCCTCTTTTTTTTTTCCTTTTATTTAATTTTATTTTTTTCTAGAAAAGTATTTAAGCAACAATCTAAGCACATTTTTAACTAGAACAATCCTGATCTCAGTCTTGGTTTGACTGGTGCCCCCTTTGCCCCCCCCCGCCCAGGAAACAATTAAAAGAACTGCTTAGATGTAAATAATAAGGTGCCTTCAAAGGCTGTACAACCCCTGAAACACAATAATACAACAGCCCCAGAGAAATGATGAATAAAACAGAAACTCAACTTCCCAGCCATCTACAAAAATCTCTTTCACCTCCTCATCATTGTGGGAAACGTCTCTTAGTTCTCTGTCAAAGAGAAATGTTTTTCAGTGTGTCTAAAAGGCCAACAAATTTCAGTTCTTTAGGAGCAGGAGACAAGAGTGTTTCAGAATCCTTAAACTTGTTGTGAGGACTCAGTAACTTCCCCGCTTAAGTGAGCATGTGCCTCAGCAGAATGCAACAGTTACTGGAAAGAGACTTCAGGAGAGAAGTGATCCCTGGCTGGTGCTATTTCAAAATATTTAGGAATGAGAGCTGTATAAAAGTAGCTACTGAGAAAGAAGAATTAATGTGTTTCAGCAGCAGACTCACATACTTATTAAGAAAGCAGAAGATGCCTATTTCACAAACTTCAACAGAAAAAAAATGTCTTGATTTTAGTGAGTTTTAAATTGGGGCACCACTTTTTTGGACACTTATTCTTGGAGGAATCCCAGAAAATAACTTTATATGTTCTTTCATTAGCTAATCACTCAGTTCTCAACATCTGGTTTCTGTCTTCGCCAAAGTACTGGCCAGCAGAGTTCTAAAAATGGACGCTCTTGAAGACTTTTGTTTTTTCGTTTGTTGATGAGGTTTTGGGGGTGCAGGGTGTTAATGAATAGGTGACAAAGGATCCTACTTATTAATCACATCTAATCAACATGTTTTCATGAAACTATCTCAGGTTAGTCATCAGAAAGGAGTTCATGCAGTCTAATATTGCTATGTTCCTTCCTGTTACATTATCTGTGAATTTGACTTCAATTTTAGGGTTAATTAGCTTTTCTAACCCCATTTCAGTGTGATCACAGTGCTATAACCATTCAGAAAGTTTACAAAGAGAATCAGAAGACATTTCAGAGCCACAGTTACAGGAACTAAATAAGCGATAGGCACATGTTTTAACACCACAAAAGCACTTCAGTTTTCCAACTTTGTTCTCTGAACTTAGTGCAACATTTCGTTCTCTCTTTATCATAATCAAAATTTGATGTGCATTCTTTCTTAAATGGCATCTGATGTGGTATCTCTCTTCAGCTCCTTGTGGTTTCCTGTTTTTCATACAGACGAGAGTATCTGCTGAGATCTGTTACACTTCATCTTTTATCACTTATGACTTTCTCAATATAAGCCTCAAAATAAAATTTAGATTTCCATTCACTTACATATACATTGAATGCCTGATGTTTTCCCGTGGTAGAAGTATAGGAGCAAGTCTTCAGTATTGTGCTTCAAGTTGGTATTTGTTTAAATTCTGCAGGTTAACTGCAGAATACTTACTATGCAGGAACCAACTTAATAGAGTCAGGGTTTTTTTCACAGTATTGTACTGTAGTATGGAGTAATACATGGAAAAAATGGAATGTGGAATAAAATATTTTGACTTTTATAAAAATAAGCCAATGTGAACTACAAAAGATTGGAGGAAAATATTAATGAGTACCTGAGGCCTATTTCTTTTGTCTTCTCTTGACATTTTAGAAAAAATACTACTAAGAATGTATGAGGTCTTGTTAAGTCCTGAAAATTGTTATATATTTGTTAATTAAAATGCTTTTAAAATGTGGTAAAATCTGCTCCCACTGGGAGTCAGAACCTTTATAAGAGAAGGTGTTATGGCTTTGAAAAATTCAGATTCAATCCTAATGACATGAGAAAAAGAAACATGCTATTGTTAGTCAAGTTCCCATAGTTTTGAGACTGATAAAATAGAGTATATCATAAAATATGTCTTATTTTGTTTCACCATGTTTAAAGGAAGATAACCTATTATTGCATTAGCTTAAGCTCAATTCAGAAAACTTTTTTTTTTTTTCTTTGCCTGTAGAGAAACCAGATTAACGCTCCACGACTTTCGAAGTACAGTTTGGCTGTTTGAATAGATGTCAAACCTTAAATGCAGGGTTTTATTAAATTTATTATTTTTCTTCCTCACAGAACTATAGTTCCATGGAAGCTGTTCAGGCAGTGCCTTCATGAAGTTCATCAAATAAGCTCTGGTTTGGAAGCAATGGCCCTTAAGTCTACTATTGACTTGACCTGCAATGATTACATTTCAATTTTTGAATTTGATATCTTCACTAGACTATTTCAGGTAAGATTTGAAGCTTCTAAATATTTGTATGAATTTAAGAACCTAAGCAGTTTGAGTCAAGTGGTCAAGAAAGTGGATTTGTTGGAAAAACGGGAATAATTCAGACACTAGAATTCAGAAATAACATGTGTAGTTTTTTAGTACTTCAGAAATTTTTGGAGGATCAACACCTGCATCTAAAAAATTGAAAACATCCAGCAGTGCCTGCTACACTGGTGTGCACAGCTGTGATATTATTGCAGTATCATGTATGCTATTTACATGTTTTTCAGTATTCTTAAGTGCATTCCTAACATCATGGACTTATCTAATGCTTATCTAATTGTATTTATGTTTTCATTGTACTTTCATATCTATACATACTTATGTGAATTGTTTCTATGAACACGTAAGGAAAGTGGCTTTTTTTTTTTTTTTTTTTTTAGCCTAAATGTAGGTGTAACTACTTCTTTAGGGCACATATTTTGGCCATTAATTGCTCGGCTATTTATTTAAGGGTAGCGGAGTATTTTTGGAAATAGCATTAATTTTATAATTGTTAATAGGAAATACTTACCTGAAATAAACTTGTATGTATGTTACATGCCTCTCTTACGCTTATCTCCCTTCTACAGAGCATACCTTAAGGGAGATATTCTTCCAGTATTTGAGCCAATATAGAAGGCTGTGCTGATTTGCATTCATATTAAATGTATTGATTGTGAATTAATCGCTTTGGATTTTTCCTTGGTGTATAGGAATAATTAAGGTATAGGACCATTTATTTGGTCATTTATGTTTTCCCCTTTGTAGTGATCAGTCGGTGCGTTTTTCTTTAACCTATTGAGGGCTTGTTCAAAATATCAATTTTTCATCAAAGCCTGGGCCTATAAGCTTGTGATAATCTATGATAATCACTGTTTGGCTCTATTGTTTTTTGCTGTTATGGGAAAGGGAGCCTTTACAAAGTCAATATTAAGAATTGACAGAAGATGAGTAACGGTTTTACTTTACAGGGTTTTGATTTTAATCATCTCTTGTCCATTCTGAGTCAAAACTGTTATCAAAATTGAAAATATTACCGTGTAAATAATCTCCCTCTGTTTAATTTAACCACAAACATTGGTCACTTTTTAAAACAAATTTGCACAGGTTATAGAATTTCGAGCAAAACTTTGGTGTTCTCTTGAACAAAATAATGAAATAGAGAATAAGATCACTAAGGACTTTATGCTCTTTTAGGAGAATCCCTCTAAGCTTTGTTCTGTATATGGAGCTTGAGATGATCAAACATTCCTTTCTGAATTTTGCTGCCTTGGGATGAGTTTCTACTCTGCCAAAGTTTTCCCCTTTTATTCAGTAATTTGCAAACTGATCCGGTGTTCAGGTTGGTAGTGAAGTCCAAATTTTCATCTCAGACTTGACTGCAAAATGTCCGAGGCCTATTGATTGCAACATACATCACTATGAGATGCATTTATTTAAGGCTTCTTTCTATGCGATTGATTTTTCTCCTCTCATTTTGCTCACTAATAATAATAATAATGTTTTTTTTCCCTTTTAATCTGTATATTAACTGTAAAATTAAATGAGAAGTTGGTGATCTGAGAAATACAGTTTGCTCTGGTCCTGTGGGATCTTACAGATTGTATTAAACTTTGGACTTGAGGACAGAAGTCTCAAATGAGATTTATTTTCCTTGATCCGTAGACCAACATATACCAGATTGCATTAGCTTCTTTGTTTACTGTATTGTCAGGCCATTGCTGTTTTGATTCATTAATATGCTTGGTGCTAGAGAAGGGGGATCAGCAATACTGTAAGTGTAAGGAGAGAAGACTGGTTAGGATTAACTTTTAATTTAAGGAGAAAATGTTTAAAAGAAGCAGAGGGTTAGTTTTTGCCAAACAGATTACCAACTGGTGCAATATCTGTGTAACTGTTGCAGTGAACTTAGACTGAACTTAGTCTGAGAATCTTTCCCAAAGGTTACATTTTACTCTTCCACTTCTTAAACTGCTTCTCTAACTATGTGTGTATACACCCGCAGAGAGAAAATCCCAATTGTTTAAGTAATCAAGATACTGTTTTGCCAAACGAGGGTCATATTACAGAAAAGCTACATTTATAGCTATACTTATTCACAGAAGAAAGCAAACAAGATTACCTTTTATGTAGATCGGTAAAAGTGAAGCTGCTCCCCCTGCCTCTCCATTGTGTGCATGCACTGCTCCAAGTATGGTAGGTTTTCGCTGACCAAAGGTGCAGTTTGTATGGCAGTATATATAGATGCTTTGAAGTAAAGGAGCTTCATTTTGTCACTGTTAACATGTTGAATTAAGTTATCCTTTTATGTAAAAGTATTTTTATGGACTAAATGTGCAAGCCTTTTCTCATTTAACTTTTCCACGTTTGTAATATTCTACATTAGTGTCTAAAAGGCAGGCTAAAGAAATTTCGCCCTTTGATCTCCAGTCCTCATGTCACATCGTTTTTCTGTTATAGCAGTAGCTTGATACTCTGGAAGATATGTTCTGCTTAGGAACTTGAAGGTTGTGCCTAGCCAAAGAATTTGCACGCTACTTGGATGTTTTTTTTTTATAATCTGCTGTGACTAGGTTTTATATTACCACAGTCCAACACAACTTCAAGAGTAGTGAATATTTGATCATCCTTTTTGCTTTATGTGCATGCGCTTGAATAATACGAAAGGTAAAAGACTGATGCGTTTTTATGAAGAAAGTAGCAGTGTTGGTGTGGTAAGGGGGGAAAAGTTAACACCCTTTTTTCTCTAACTAGGGCAACTAAGGTTTCTCATGCGGTTAAGGCTTCTGACACGAATCTTTGATATTCCATTGTCTATGAAATGACAATGTAGAGAGGCACTGGCAAAATAGTTGTGTTGCATCTAGGATTGCAGATTTTTCTCGTGACTTTGTTTTGTACAAAATTTGAACATTTGAGTTCTCTTATGGCCTCTATATTAAAAACTCATTGTTCCATTTCACATGTGTCATCTGAAGAAGTATTCATTTTAAAATAAAGGAGTTCATCCATGTTTAAATAGTGGTTAGGATTTGCCGAGGAGATATATCTTAATCTCAAGTAGAAGAACTGTTGCAATACTCTACTCAAGTGTGTCACTTTAAGGGTGTTTTATCAGTGCCTTACTAGCCTTTGTAAAGCCCCCTTAAAGGACATTTGCAGGATACACAAGAACACAAGTCTCGTTTCTTCTATTTCATAACTTCGCTTGCCCTGATCTTTTGACAAATGCATTAAAAAATCTCCAAACTATTAAAAAGCAGTTTCTTCTCTTTCCAAATGCTGGCAATGGACGCTTAATGTATTTATGTTAATCTCCTATTCCTTAAAAATCATCTTGCTTTCGCAACAAAAGAATATTTTCTTTGAAGTAAGAGCATGTCAGGCATATTTCACTGAGTTTTCTGGAGCAATTGTGAGCAAATAATGTGATGAAGTGCAGTCAGTATTTGTTTTGTTCCCTGACTGTGATGCCATTATAGTAACTGAAGGAATTAAGAAGTAGAGAGTAAATAAAGGAATGATAGCTCAAATTAGTGGCTTTATTAGGCTTCATTTGTTAGTTTTACTTATCATTAGTTTTGTACTTGCCTCAGGACCAGTCAAGAACAGGCTTAATCGGGTTTTTAACCATCATGGAGCCATAGTCTGTAGGTTCTCACTAAACTGGATGCTTAATATTCTATGTGGCTGCAAATAGAAGATCCCTTAAACTCCAGGTCTTCCAAGGGTTTATCCAAATATTTACCTTGATGTTCCCGGAATAATTCTTTTGGTAGAATCCTTGCAACAAAGCTGAGTATTTTGGACAGTCTTCTGTAGCAGTTAGATGTTAACCAAAACTGTGTGTTTCAGCTGAAGCTAAAACATTTTCAGTCTTTTTGACAAATTGATGTTTTATTAGATGTTTACAACTCTCTGGCTGCACCTATTTAATTGTTTGTCCTCTTTTTTCAGCCTTGGGGTTCAATCTTACGGAACTGGAAATATAGCACTAAGCCTGGGAGGTAAGATTTTTTACTGATTACCACCTTCCAAATAAACTTACTGTCTCAGAAGCTACGTAATTTTTCTGGGTCCATACTTCCATAGCATGTGACACTTATGCTGCAATATTAAAGGAGTGAATTTTTAGCTCTTTGTTGTTAGCAGAGTGTATCAGAGAGAAGTGTTAGGCATTTTTTTAAAACTTGGGACTCTATTTCTATCAAAATATCTTTTTAAAAGACAGTTTAGTGCTAAAGGCCAAAACTCCAGATTCAAAAAATCCTGAACTTTTAAATTTTCAGACTTAAGAATTTTGTAGTCATGACCTACTTTTTCCCCCTTAGGTCTTCTGCAGTGCTGTGAAATGAAACAACATTGTGTTAGACGTGAAAACCAAAATATCTAAATCAAGTACAAGTAAACCAAAAAAAAAAGTGAAATTTTATTGCTTTTCCTTTCTTTTGAATTATATACAACCTGTAATGTCATCTTGGAAAGCATATTTGAAAATATGCCTATAATTTACTTTTCAAAATGTTTGTTTAATTGTTGAATAGTAAAATAAAGTCATCCTAACCCCATAGATGATAGGACACAAATTATAATTTCAGTCAGTACTTGTATGTCCCTTTTATGTCAAATACGTGCTCTTCTTCATCAGTAATGGTTTTATATTGTCAACTCTGTGCTTAGAAAAGGAAGCTGTCAGATTAAATATCATGATGTGTACAGAGATTTTAAATAATTTATGTGATGCTATACATATTGTATTGTTCAAACTGAACTTTTATTTTACATACTGCTTCTGCTGTTCTGTTTTTTCTTCTTTACTCAGCTTAGGGAAATAAAAATTCATTACTGAATTTAATCATTTGTTAGTTAGTTTTTATTTAGCTAGTTTTACCTTCCAATTCTCAAATTTTATTCTCTAATCTGTAGGTGTCTAACTTTGCTGTTGGATCACGCGTATATGTAGCTAAAAACACTTTATTCTGAGACTTAGTAGAGAAAAGTATGGCAATATCATGAGAAAGCTATACCCATATTCAGAGACCCAATTCAGCGTCTTAACCAGAGGCCATCCTTCGTCTCTGCACTTGCTCTACCAAACATCAATTAACAATGACTTTTTGTCCATCCTGTTTTTATAAAGCTACATTTTCAGACTGAGTTGCACTCGCCTAGGACAGTGGGCCATTGGATATGTGACTGGTGATGGGAACATTTTGCAAACCATACCTCACAATAAGCCTCTGTTTCAAGCTTTGATTGATGGCAGCCGGGAAGGATTGTAAGTACACATTCTTATATTCCTCATAGGTATGAAATTCTAATTCAGTTGTTAATCTAACGCTTTGGACTTGTAATTAGTAAAAATGTTTAAACTGGTTAGAAAAGCTGGATAGGGCTTTTGACATTCCTTTAGAGATGAAGGACCATCCCTTTTATCTGTCTGAGAAACATGGTAATTCCATTAATCAAAGTTAGCCATATTTCATAGCAGGTACATTCCAGGAGAAAATAAGATTGGACAGCTGTCAGTTTGATTCCCCCAACAAGTGTCGCAAATGCGCTTAAGCGTATTGAGCAATTAGTGCTACCAGCTACTCATGTGTTTAAGTCTGGAAAATAATTCAAAAGGTATGTAATTGCTTGTTGATATATTTTACAGCCAAAACATTTTTCCAGGTTTTAATAGTTTACTGAAAGTTTATAATTATAAAAGAATCTAAGTTTATAGGGAGAAGTAACACTTTTTAAGTAGGCCAGCTGAAGTAACTGGAAAAAGCAGGCAAATTTTTGATGTGAGAGTCTTTCACTGGGATACATGTTTTGATATATTGCATGATTGTGAAGGGAAAAAAAAATCCCCAAAAAAGGATTTAAAAATTCATTGCTAACTCACACTTTTTCTTGGTCCTCAAGAGTCGAGTAATTTTATTCCTGATAGGGTAATTTCACATTTTGAAAGTGATCTATTGTCCTGCAAAACAAAACACACTTATGTGATCCTATATATAGTTGTGTGTGTTTTGTTTCTAGTGTTTCTACTACACAATTTCCTTGGCAAAAACTAAGCAAACAAAAATTACAGTTGAGACTATGTAATGCAAGGTGAAGTTTTTGTACCCTATTTAAAGATAACTTTTTCACATTGTGACTTAAGTGATAGTGTTATCACTTATAAGAAACTGTTTCGAAGTCGGAGGTGACATAAAACTGAGTATAGAACAACTTAGTGTCTCGATGATATCGTTAAGCTGTCATTAACTTCCTACAAGATCAAAATGACCCCATCTCTCCTCACTTAAAGTCCAGTCTGCATCTTGGATTCTTAGTGTAGGTTCTTGTGATAGTTTAAGAAAGATAAAAATGTATGTTGCTGTCTGTTCTGCTCCGTTGCTTGAAGTATTCAGCTTTCTACATTCACTGAGCACCATGCAGGCAATGCAGAGATCACCAGGAATTTATGTAAGTGTAAGAGCTTACTGTAAAATTCAGATCTAAAATGATATTATATTGAGCTACACCAAAAAAGTTACCTGCTAACCAAAGCTCAGTTGTATTCTCCTGATAACTGTGTGTGATGCCAGCATCTCCCTGATGGGCTACGCTTTATCATGTATCAAAATACATGTGTAGCAATTCAGCTGCACCCAAAAGTTGAGAAAAATGGCTAAAGAAAGATGAAGCACTTTAGCTAATGTCTACTGTAACAAATTCTGTTTGAAATTTCATAAGTATTATTTAGCTAATAAAGCTAAAGAAATATGCGTATTTATAACAATCCTTTTGTGATGCAGCTATTTGTTCCCAGATGGACGAAGTTATAACCCAGATTTGACCGGGTTATGTGAGCCCACACCACACGATCACATAAAAGTCACACAGGTATGTTACGCGATTTGTCAGTTACCTTGTGATCTTCACTTCCCTTAGCATCCCATCCAGCAGTGACAATTAACTTTTATTACAATGTGAGAAATAAATTCAAAGGAGTGGAAATATGTTTTTGACAAGAAGACTTAGATGAAGAACAGAATAATAATCCTTTAAACTTTAGAGCTAACAGTGATGCAGGTGGCATGTCTTGGGAAGTTTTGGTTATTTTAAGCCTTTTTCAAGTGAGAAACATGTTAACAGTTATTAAAGTTTTTCTGATATTTTTGTGATAGGTTAATAGAGCTTGGTGTTTCTTCGCTAATAGCAGATGCAAATAGAGAAATAAAATCAAGATGAGATCGTAGTTTTAAAGGCTGAATGGGAATGATACTGTTTGGCAGGTCCAGGAGGAGAAGTGCAGTTCTTTTTATCATAAAGATGTCATTTCTAGGGTCTCTCTCATTTCTTCCTTGTCTATTATGCAAATGAAGAGAGTTCAGGGAAAAGCAACAGAAATAATTAAGTGCCTGAAGGGACTCTCAAGAGACGATAAGAGTATCTAGATGTGTGTATAGTCTTGTTAGGTGATGGTGTGATAGACTAATCTGCAGATGTTTGATATTAGAGGAATAGGAAGTAGCCACCGTAAGACAAAGGTTTGATTAAAAACATTACAGAAATTAACACTAAAAGGTTTTACGTATACCATCCAGAGTATTTTTCATGACAAAAGGCTCTGGAGGAGGAGATGTTCAAGGAAAGACATCAGACTAGGTACAACTCTCTAAAGCTATTTCAGTTTTCCATTTCTTCAGGATAGACCTGGTGACCTGCTGAATCTTCTGTCACTCTGAGTGACATATGCGTTTTCCACCTCCAGAGATACTTTAGAAAGTATCTATGGCATTATTTAGTATCTGTGGTATTATTGGGAGTACCATTATGAAAATGTCTGCCTCCTAAGTGAATTCCTAAAAACGATTACCTGCGGAAGGTGTGAAAACTTCCACCAATCTGATTTCTTTCCTTTCCCTCCAGACTTACCATAATGAAGGAGCAATACAAACATAACGGTTATTTGATTGCAGGAAAAACTTACCTAGCCCCATACTAGCATACATAGCTCCTTACTTTTCCTCAAAAGAAGAAAACAAAGCTTAGACATTCTCAAAGTTCCCTTGTTTCTGTACAAGGCAGTCTTGTTGTCTTTCCGTCACTGAATGAATCCAATTGTTTCTGAACTTGTACTTATGAGGGAAATACTAGTTAATTCTGATGTCAGTTCATCAGAGCCTGAACTATATGAATGCTACCTTAAATAATATCCAACTGCAGTGGTTTAAAGCGATCCCTAGAGCTGCTTAAACTATGGAAAGATGGTATAAAACTGGCTCCAGGGCTAGATTGTTGCAGATGGATTCTTTGCAAGAGCTCCACCACAGCATATTTAGTGCGTACTGACTGCAGCTGCAGATAAGAGTTATTTAATCTTCTTTTTCTTAGCCTCTTCCACCCTCTCTTTACTCAACGGGAGCTGTTATTTTCCTGTGACCTGGATTATTCTTACTTCAAGCCTTCAAAATTTGCTTTTCCTAGAGTGAAAAAGATAAAATAAAAAAGCTTTATTCCTGCACAAATGCATTTGATCGCCAGTTCACTGACAATACCTTTCCTAACTCTAGAAAACTGCTTTGGGCATGGGTTTTATCTATTATTCCTCCTGAAGGTGTTCTTGTACCTTAGGATCAGTCTCAAAAGGCGACAAAGGACTGGATGACCTGTGCATGACTGTTGCCCTGTCACCCAGGGGGCATTCGCCATGCTGCAGATAGAAAACTCTGTTCCTTGTCAGGTTTCAATCGGTAGCTTTTATTAGTCCTTGCCTTACACCTAGAAAATGAAATCTCCATTTTGTTCCCATTCATCACGTAATTGATCCCTTACAGCAATGTTTTCATTATCTTCCTCTTAATTGCAGCCGAGGAAAGCAGGATGCATGCCTTGCATCAAAACAGTAGCTGTATGGGATATGACTTCCTGTAATGACTGGATATTTGAAAAAGTCAGGTTGTATTTTTCTGAAATTCAGCTTGTCCCTTTTGGAGCTGAAGTAACAGTAAGACTTAGTATAAAAGCAAAGCCTAAGAAGCCAAAACAATAGTGCAGTCCATTGTTTCTTAATGTAAGTGATCTTATCAACACCACTTATAATTAGATTCCACCCATGCTTACACGGGCACCCAGACACTGGATTTTCTGAAATAACTAATGTAAAAAATGTAAATGTCATTAAAAGTTGGGGAGAGAGAGGGGAGATGAAAGCAAATAATTTGTTCCGTTCAGTTCCTACGATGCATTTAGAACAGTCAGGTCAATTGAATACGCAGTAGTTTCAATTCTTTTGAAAAGTCCGCAGAGATCCAAACAGGCACAAATTTATTAAACTCCAGTTGTACCATTTATTATATCATTTATCTTAAATATGAAGAAGCAAGAGAGTACTGTTTTTCGGAAACTCTAATATGGCTTTTAAATAGATCTGTACCAATAGTTTCCTCTACTATTAAGTAAAGCAGGTTAGAAAATGGGCTCAGAGAACTGCATTTGTGTCACTAGTGGTACTTAAGTATATCCTTTATCAACTAATGACAGTAAAGAAATAATAACCTGACGTTCTTTTGTTACAGGAGCAGTACGAATTGTACTGTGAAATGGGTTCTACTTTTCAGCTCTGTAAAATCTGTGCAGAAAATGATAAGGATGTGAAGATTGAGCCTTGTGGACACCTCATGTGCACTTCTTGTCTTACAGCATGGCAGGTACAGTCGTAGTTCAATTAGTGAAGAGGAGGGATTTTTCTGTTACATCGCTATCCGCTGTGTGGGTTTTCCATTCACTTTTTCAGGTACTCATTAAGGATATTCAGGGATATGTCTATTTAAAATGGTAAACTCATTTAATTTCATGGACTGAAATCTGTCTGTGAAAAATAAAGTCCTAGGGATCATTAGAATTTAGACTGCTAGGCTTGCCAAGGACATTTGCTGCATATCAGAAACCTTTTCCTGAGTGCAGGATCTACAAAAGAGGTGAAAGCTGGGCCTTTGTTGACTCTTCAGTCGCCCAGCTCGCTTCATGATGTGTTCAAAAGCAACGAGAAGACAGGTAGCAGCTGGGAGTCAGATAACTGACTAAACAGGGTTTTATAATGGGGCAGGATGTCTTTGACAGGAGAATGATGTAGTCAGTAGTGCATATCAGACATTGCCCTTTGAAAAACAAGCTCAGAATCTCTATGTGCTTTTAACTGATAACATGTTAATCACGAAGCCTTACCATCTAGCTTTTCTTGGGATCAGAGAGATTGAATGGAGAGGAAAACTGTGATCTCAGTGTCATTTACAGAATATTCCAGAAAGCACAGATGCTTCCTGGTGGTCCACCAGTTGGGGTATTTTGTCCGTTTGGTTCATGGAGTTACTAGTCTGTGGGAAAAGGGAGGATTGATGCCTTTATTTAAGCATAATTAGCAAACATTTGACTTAAAACTGAAATCAAAAGCAAAGGTTATTCCTCATTACAGCTCCAGACTTTTCCCTAACAAGGGCTTCACAAGCTGAATCTTTTCAGCACTTTTTACTTTTAGCAAATACTTTCATTGCTATTCTGCCTCCTTCCCCCACCCCTTTCTTTCATATCTGTACATTGTAAGGGGAAAAGTAAGGGTCATTCCTTTCTCAGACAGGACTCTGTACCACAGTTAGGTGCCAGTCTTTGTATACAAACATGATGAAAAGAGTAAATAGAATCCGTGAGGTTGATCCACTTTTGAGCTGGCTTAAAATCAGTTGTATTTCAATTATTTAGTGAATTGTCATTCTCATGGTTGAAGATGCAACCCAAAGTACTAATGATTTTTTCCAGATTCTAATTAAGAAATCGTTATTGGCACACCAACTCAATGAATAGAGGGGTCATTTGGGTTTTTCTTCCATTAGCCGTAAAAATTACTGGAAAGGAGGATTCCTAGTTTCCAGTTTTGTGTTCTTTCTGGAATTTGGGTTTGATGCTCCAAACCCAGTCCTTTCAAATTGTCCACAGGTCAGAAGTTCTGAGGAAATTCCATGTTACGCATACCCAACTAAGAATATTTGGTTCATTGAGCAGCTGTTAAGTTGGAGTGATATTTCTCATTTCAAGAGTACCCTTTTTCTGTTCTTAGCACTTTCGCTCTGAATGACAGAGCATAGATGCCTGACTGCTTTAGTCGTTGAGTTCCAAACTCAGCTGCGCTGGATTTGCCCAGCTTCTTATTAGAAAAATCCTGAAAATCCCTGTACTACTTCTTGCCCTGTGTCTCTTACCATGGCAGCAGAAGATTCCAGCGTTGAGCCAGTGATGTGCTCTGTTTCTGGAGACGCAAGAAGCTCAGGTTGCTGTATTCTGACCCAGTGGCTAGGTCTTCAGACAGAGGACAAAGCGTTGTAGGCTCAGAGAGTTGGCATTTTCCAATGACATCAAGCTTTGTCAGAAAATTCCATCCAGCTGTAACCAGCCAGCTACATTTTGGACTTACTGCAAATTTAACTTTTGTACAATTAGTGAAGCAGCAAAGAAATACACTATAACAACGTCAGCTGTTACAAGCTTCTGATGGGCTAGTGCTCAATTGCTGTCATAATGGCTCATTAGACATGCCTCGAGAGGTCCAATACAGATGTTTTCACTAGGCGGAAAAAAAGTTATTGAATAAAAAGAATAAGGAACACCAGATCTGCATAGAATATTAAGCATGATTCAGAGTTATTCACCTTTGTGGAGGTCACTCTCACAGATGAGCATTGGTTGAACTATCTCCCTTTTGTATTATGCAAAAGGAGGAGAATTTCATTTTCTTCCGTAAAAATCCTTTCTTTTCTAAAAGCTGCAGTTCTGGGCTTAATTCTAAAAGTCTGTGGGCATATATGCTGCATTGTCAGGTTCATGATAGCTCCTTTCTCAGTGTTGTAAATAACCTTTCTGTAGGCATGGACAAACGTGTATGTATACGTATAGACATCTCAGGTCTCTGTTTTATTTTCTCAGTTGCGTTCATACTACTGAATGCAAGTCTCTGCTGTTGTAATTGGTTACTAGATATGTTTTGGTGAACTTAGTACGGAATTATCTGACAACAGAGGTTTAAGAAAGCCTCCTTTTCTGTAAGGCTGTTTCTATGTAAAGAATTCTGTGAATAAGGAAGGACTTCTGTTCGCTTGACTGTGATTACTTCAGTAGGTCCATAAAATTTGGAGGCACTCCTCTGAGACTATCAACAAGTGATTTTGACTAGTCTTTTGTAATTAAGATGCAAGACTGCTAAAAGTAGATCAGTTAGTTATTTGTCTGTTCAGTGGTATTCAGATAGCATTTATATTGCATGATCTGTAACCAGTGATCTGTTGCAAATCTGTTTCCTATTTGCTCTAGTGTTTCCTTTGCAAGCTGGTGTAGAGACCATGTAGAGGGCATTTTGATGTAGAAATGTGTAAGACTTTGTATTTTAATACATTCTTAAAAGAAGAAGTACCTAAAAAGTATGTACTACTTTGTTTTGCTCAGGAATCTGATGGCCAAGGCTGTCCTTTCTGCCGATGTGAAATCAAAGGAACTGAACCAATTATTGTGGATCCATTTGATCCAAGGGATGAAAACTCCAGGTGCTGCAGTATTATTGATAGCTTTAGTATGCCCATGTTGGACTTGGATGACGATGATGATAGAGAAGAATCTTTAATGATGAATCGTTTGGCTTCTGTCCGAAAGGTAAATTTTCACATATTGTACAATAGGTAAAGCTGTATGTTTGTAAATGAATCTGTCTGTAACTGTGAAGAGTGAGAGGTCACACCTGACGCTAGGTTTCAGTAGCTCACTGAAGATTTCTCAGGCTGGAAAACCAAAATATACCAATACTACAGCAAGAAGACTCAAACTGAATAGGAAAAAAGAGAGTCCCAGATTCTCTGCTGAAGTGTTTCACTGTCATATCTGAGGGTATCTGTCAGTTAATATGCATGCTTCAGATACCCTTCCTAACCTCTTAAATCATATGAATCGTTATTATGTTGTGTATATAAATACAGCTTGGCCGACTCTTGGGAACAGTTTATCCTTCCTGCCTGGATTTAAATCACGATCTGCCACCTGACCTCTGTGAGATAGCCTTTAATTGATGGGCTTTTATAACACTATCGCTTCCATGATAAGGCAGAGTTACGTTATCCTTTTACTAAAAGAAGGAACAGTAGGGTTTAATATAAGAAGTCGTGTCTTCAGCATCCACCAACTGCTTGAGTACTTTGGTTCTTGCTATTTTTATGCTGTTAACTTCATAGTTCAGTGAAAGACACCTACTAATATTTTTATTCCTGAAGTTTAGGAACGCTATTTTCCGTTCTTTATTTGAGCTTTTCATTCTTTATTTGCAGATGTTGAGTTACCAAGTCATTTGGTGATTATTCAGCTTGCTGTTGCCTTCTTGCAGCTGTTACGATACTAGTAGAATGATGCTCTTAACCACACCATCCTTGTGGAATATGTCACAATTTACAAACATTTTTGTTAGTAATGTCCCCTTCAGACTTGTCTGTTTCTCTTAATCATTATTTATTTTTTCCTGTTAAACAGTATTTCTTCACAACCTTCTATAAGAAACACCTTTCTCCATATGACTTTACATAGATTTTTTCCCCTTTTCAGTATTTATTTCTTGATAATGTTGTTAACGTGAACATGGTGCTGCATGATGGCTGTGCTGTATAGTCATTTGGTTTTTTTGAAACAATGGAGATGAGATGACAGATATGATCATTTTGTTCTTACAGTCAACCCAATACTGCTGGTATTTTGTAATCCCAAAGAATGCTTTTGTCAGTTAGTTTGTATTTACTGCAAAGATTTTCATATGCTTCCTCAACATGAAGCTCTTCCTCCTTGAAAACTGAGTGACCTGGTTTTGTCTCAAATCATCTGACTAGACCATGTGGTAGTACTGAGAAAATTTTCTTGTGGCATATCTGACTAGCAGTGAATTTGGATGTTAGACTTGCTAGGAGAAGAAAGTTCCAGGGACATGAACTTCTCACTGAAAATGGCTGTGGGGCTTCAAGCTGTGTTGCAGGAACATTTGAGTCAGTCACTGTTGTCCTGAGAGCCTTGTGGAAGGGCACTGCTAGAATGTTTCTAAGCTGTTACTACAAAGTTTCACTACCTTTGAAACTGAGACTTATACTTGAAATATATTCATAATACACAGAGTAGTTGCACTAAGCTCATTTTATTCTGCCTTATGGAAGCACAGATAATCATGTTTATCATTGATTAAAGGGCCTATGTGAGTTTTCCAGTGAGCTCTTTTTGACAAACTGAAAAGCTGAAAAATGCTTTTTGGAGTTGTCATTAGTGTTTAAAGAAGCCATAACTTTTTATCATCCCCTGCTGTACCTGTATGAATTATCTTTTTTGCAGACTGGAAAGATAAACCTGCTGTTTATTTCCCAAAATCCAATTGCAAGAGGGAATTTATGGAGCAAAGAGCCTAATTTCTTGGGCAGGTGAATGAATACGAGTTGAGTATAAAAATATCCACTCTCTATTTTCTACTCTTATATCTGAAGCCTACTCATGAACAGGCAGAGGTGCCTAGATCAAATCCTAGATGGACCTCAGCCTTGAAATTATTTTAAAGAAAAGAATAGTCACAAAGCTACTTACTCATTCTTTAATGGAATGAGTAAATGGATCCACTTTAAGAAAAATGAATCATTCTTGCTAGCTGTTGTATATGAGTCAGCAGCAGCAGATCAGCTGTAACAAAGGCTTCAGAGAAATCTACTGCAATTAGTATATCTGCCTTATCAAGCAGCTTTTCTTCTTTTTTTTTTTTTCAAATTGTCTTCAGATATTTTTTTATGAAGCAAAGATGAGGAGTGGTGCCAAAACCTCTGTTATTGTCTCATTACTGAGAAACTTCTAACCTTACGGTATCCGATCAGCCAATGCAGTTATTGCTTGAAGTGTCCCTATTCTCAGCTCTACGTTGTTTATCCTAACCAAGCTTTGCTAACATCATGTGGGTCAGGAAATACGCCTTAAAAATGTGCAGATTTACAGGTTCAGGTAAATATTTAAAAAGGGTCCATTTTTTCATCTTTTTAAAGAAGGCATTTGAGTGTCCAGTACACTATCTGTATTATTCCATAGTCTTTAATATTCCGTTGTCCAAGTGAATTAGGAGTGATCTGTCACTCTGTCTTGTTCACAATCTAGCTTGATATAGTTGGTTTAAAAAGAAGAAAATAAAACAAGAAGAATACATAGTGCAGGAGTTCTTATTAAGAGCAAAGAGTGTTGAATTTTTACATGTTGAGATAACTGTATGATCCAAATAAAACTCTATTATTACATCAAACCATAGAGGGAAGCCCTAACAATGTAGGGGACGATGAAGTTTTCAATAGTTAAAAGTAAGTTTGCAACCTCTAAGGACACTTCCTTCTGAAACTATGTGAAAAGTTACCTTGTCCAGGGAGTTACTGACTTCCCTGAAATTAATTTCATAGTTGTCCAAGCACACCAAAAACTGACTTTGATTCACACTGTTGACTTTAAAATCGTTAGAACAGGTCAGCAAAACTGAAAGCCGCTACTTGTCCTGACTTGTCTTTTTCCACAGGATGAGTTAGTATGGACTTAACAAGTCATGACAAAAGACTTTGGTTCTCAGAATAGCGAAGGAGAGTACGGTGGATTTTTTTACCCCTTCCCTTCCCTTTCTAGTTTTCAAATCTTTTTTGTGTTAATGATTGTTCTAAAAAAGGCATATAATTACACAGTAGTAGAGTTTCAACTTTCATCGTACAAAATATAGAAGCATGTGAAAAAAAGGCTTCAAATATGTATCCAGGCGTTTCCCCCAGGCATGAATTCTTATGCTCACTCACGCGTATGTGTTAATTCTTTCTTAATGGTACACCTAATTTATAGGAGTTAATTAAAATCATTCTGCACAATTGGAGAGTCCTTAACTGCTTAGTATACAGTATTTGAAAAAGAGGTGTAAATGCTGGGAGGCAGTGTGCCTCTCTTGGTTATGATGCATCCTACAGATTCCCCCTGTGGCAGTCAGCTTGGTGCTGACTCTCACCGCCTTAGGTTGGCAGCGTTTCCCTGCTTCACATGCATTTTGTTGGGTCAACAAATGAAAGATCAAATAAAGAACAAACCTATCTATGCAAGGCATGTTTGCAGCCATCAGTGTTAAGAGCTGTTACTTTGTATTATCATCCACGTTTTTAAGTCCAGCTGGTACTAATCTACCTAGGTCACAATTTACCTTAACAAGAAATAAATAATATGGGAATTACTCTCATCTAATTATAAATAAAGATCATTCAATGAAACTTCAGAGGACTATTTGGGAGTATCTTATGAAAAGGCCACTTCTGGTATAGGACTGCTTGGACCTTCCTGGAGGTCTCATTATGCAATCTGTAAATTGATGAGTTAGCTCCAGCAGCACATTAATAATCAAGATAATATTCCTGCATCAGCCACTTGTTAGGGTTTTTGTTTAGTGTATTTTTAGTATATGCCTATCTGGCAGAAAGGCATCTGAAACTGAAACAGTAGATTTGGTAACCCAACTGTTAACTCTTACCTCATTCAGAGCTTCTCTAGAGGCTGTAATTCATGTCAGAAGCAGCCTTATTCTAAAGTTCACAACTACTAGGGGTAATCTAATACCAGTATTTGCCAGTAATAAATATATCTGATTAAATAACACAGCTGTGGTGCACTCTGCAGTACAATTGCAAAATAAGTCACAGCTGCCTTTCCCTTGGCAACATTCATGCCAACCGGATGCTGTCCATGTTGTTACAAAGGAGTCTCTATTCTTCTCCTTAATTACATCTTTATTGCACAGGTCGTGTTGCAGCAGAGCCCCTTTATCTACTGAAGGTCTGTCTTCTGTCATTAGCAGTTCATTTGTATTAGTTTGTGTCTGAATCGTTTGCTTATCTTTTTTTCACTGTGCTACTCTCATTTCTCCTTTATTTCTACTGAACAGAAAATACAGAGAAATCTCTGTGACAAACAGAAAAATCTTAAGTCACTTAATCCTCTGGGGAAGTGTGTTTTTGAGAGATGATACTCTGTGCCAAAAAGAGTAATTATATACGAATCTATTAATGCCCTGCATATGCATGAAATGCAGCCTTTTTTTAGTGTAACTGTCAACAAACAAGAAATGATGATGTAGTTAAACAGGTAGGATGCAAGGACATGTAAAATACTTTTTTTTTTTTTTTTGTAATGGAACTATGATAGAAATCTGATACTGAATGCTGGAGAAAGCCTATTTGTTACTGCAGAGGGTTTTTGTGTTTATTTTTAGTATTGGTAGGTATAAATGAGGATTCACAATTTTAAGATTCTCCCTGCAAAGCATTCTCTCTCCAGCACCAAGCAGTGACGTGGATTCAGTTCCTCTCTAGAGGAGAGTAACTACTTTTCTTATCAGCTGTTGAGGTTGGGTGGGTTTGTTTCCCTACTCGTAAGTTGTTATTTAGCCTGTTGACCGTCCCCAGTTCTGTTTTTGACGTCTTTTGGGACTACAGCATATAGTGATAGCATTGTGGCTTTAGGCAATGGTGAAAGACTATTTTGCTATTCTGAAAGAAGAAATTGATGCAAGTTTACATTGAGGTCCTTTCACACACTTAATACTTTGGAAAACTTCCATTTTATTTTGGCAGTTGTGATGTACTATCTGGGGAACATGGTGGGTAAATATAGCTAAATCCTAAATATATATGGAACTGAGAGTTCATTGCGTAAGTTACTCTCCTGTTTTAATAGAGTTAGAAAGGATCATTTTAACAATCTTGAATTTTTAAATGAACTTTAGCATTGCTTTAGCTTTTATTATTGCCTATTACATGTCAGGTTTGTCTTTTAGCCTCTTGTTTCTGTTAATCTGAAGGTAGCGTGAGCCTCCAGTGGTTTTTAGATGTGACTATTTCCATGATTTCTCTCTGTGCTGGAGCTGCACTGTTAGTTATGGCAGGGGAAAGCAGTCTGACATGGGTGGATAAGACCAGTGGCCTCAGTGAAGAAAGAGAGTATCATTTTGCATAGTGATTCTTTAGGACAGAACTGTGTAAGAGAAGGTCGTAATACATAAATAGATAAAAGTGGTGGATATGTTTAAAATACTGTCAGTAAGTGTTCAAATGTTCAGATTAGCCGTGGGTTCACATAACTGCATGCAATGTAACATTTGCAGCTCTGCCAGGTTGCTCTCTCAGAAAGTCAAGTTAATTGATATGGTGGTACAACAATTTGAACATCTAAAATTGCCAACAGTCTTTCCTGCCCAGTACTCTGTTTTCAGTATTTACTACCTGTATTACTCTTAGTTTCCAATTTCCATTACATACAGGATTATTTCTTAGTTCTTTTGGAACAATTCATGGCTGACTGAGACACAGCATGTTACGTAACATCATATAATTTAAAGACTTACTACAGCACTGTCATTTAATTTTAAACAATTGTATTTTATTGGCGATGCAGACCTGCTTATTTGGTTCTGTTTCAAAAGATTTAGGGAATAAATTTATTTTCTGTCTGATGCTGAAGCCAAGGTGTTGACTATATTATATGACATGTCTCTTGTCTTTCAGAACTGCTTGGTGGGGGGTGTAAGTGAACTTTGAAAACTGATGTTATTAGATGATGTTTATTATGCTACGCAGCCGGTAGATGTTTTCTATTAAGTAAAAGGAATTGATATTCAATATCACTTTATAATTATAGCTGTTCAGGCAACCATATATATTGCTTATTCAATTAGTTCCCTTTCTGTAGTGTTCAGAGAAACTGAGCACCTCGCAGTCATTGGTGCATTTATCCTCACAGTCTTCCAGGCAAAGTTAGGGACGTGCATGTCCATTTCACCAGTGAAAGGAAACAAAAATTAACAGCCACGTTCAGACCACTTACAATGAACGTTGTGACTGCTTCTCCATTGAAAGAAAAGGTGGGGTTCAGGACCTAGTAGCCATGAAGAGCATGACATTTGAATTGCTCCTAGATCTATTGAAATTGAATGTGTAGTCATGACACTGAATTTACAAGTTTACCAAATGGTAAAACCCTGAGTAACGCAAAAAAATCTCTTTGGCCATGGAATTGAACCTCAGCCTTCTAGCTCTTACATGAGCATCTCAAGCACCCCCTTACTACTTCTCCTTCTCGTTGTTTCTTGCAGTAGTACTATGGTGACTTCTGTTTCTGAGGGAGGTCTAGTAGCAATTCCAGTCGTATAGAGTAGAATGTTAAGCAAGATTTAGTACAGAGTATTGAATATGGAGTCAGGATACTACATCCTTCTCCTGGATCTGCCTTTGAGTTTATGAAGTCTTCAGTAGTCTGTTCAAATTCTTTCATATATTCACCATGTGTAAAGAAAGGCAATGTTGTTCATTTGTTTACCTTGCTGAAGAACTTCCTTGAATAGCAGACTAACTTGATGATGAAAGTTCCCAACTTTATTACACTGGCCCGGTCCCTGTCATTATTAAAGGATATACGCTATTTGTGATAAAAAGCTTATTAAAAAAAGGGAAAAAGGTTTTATTGATGTGATTTATCCTAGAGACGGGAGCCTTAATTTTTGTCAGCGTTTTTCTATGCTTGATGTAGAACGATGGCAGATGGTTTACCTCTATAACCAGGTTATATGGTGAGATTCTGGAATGCCTCGGCACCCCAGGGGCCTGAGGCTGGTGCTTGGTGTGAATGTTATCCAGCTACTCAGTCTGTTGCCCACGAAAGCACAGGTTTACTTGAAGTGCAGTGACATAAACACAGTAGGTTCGTAGATGTACCTTTAATTGATTTATTTAAATAAGTCGACTGTGTTTGTTAAAACTGAGCCAGACGAGGTTCAGGAACTGGTTGCAAAAATGGGTGCAATCTAGACTGATGACTGAAATCTTTCATTCTGTTTATTTTACAGCATAGCTTCTTATTTTTAAATAGTTAAAATGATCTTTTAAATGAGAACTAGTCAACTTCCATTGTGCTTGTGAATTTGGGAGAGCAAATCAAGAAAATAAATCATCATTTGTCACTTGAGGATGTTAAATATATATGTGTATGTCATTAGTTTAATATTTGTATTTGAATTTGCATTTGAATGCAATCATGAAAGAATTTTTTTAAGTCATCTAATAAATGAGGAGGGAAAAAAGAACTGCTTTAAGGCCTGTGGTTTGATGATGATTTTGATTAGTAAGTTTTCAGGAAACATACATTCCATTTTCTGTGGAAGCATCATTTGGAAGTGGGCTATGATTAACAGAGGATATCATAGGGCTCCAGCTTTAAAAAATACAAAAATTTTAGATTGAGTACTCTCTGTTACTGAAAAGTTTATTAAGAGTAAGAGTACTACAGTGGAATCTGTTTTTACATTTTGTGATTGTTTCCTTTATTGCAACAGTATAGATGATTTGTTTTTTAGAAGAATATATATTCCAGTAATTTGTTTATTTTCATCCTAAGTTAACATGGATCTCAGTTAATTTTCAGGTAATTTTCATACATCTTTTTTTCAGTACCTATAAGCTGAATACCTGTGCTACCTAGTAATTAAGATTAGCAGGTGTCTGTTGTGATGAATGACTATTAGCGAATACCTGGCAAGTACCAAATGTTTTAGTCACTATGAAATGAAAGTTGTTTACTTAATGATAAAGTAAATTCTAATAACATTTTTTTCCATCTGGAAGTGCAATGAGAGACAGAATTCTCCAGTGACATCTCCAGGATCTTCCCCGCTTGCACAGAGAAGAAAACCACTTCCAGACCCCCTGCAAATCCCACATCTTAGTCTTCCACCTGTACCTCCTCGTCTGGATCTTATTCAGAAGGGAGTAGCACGATCGCCATGCGCCAGCCCAACGGGATCACCAAAGGTAAATCATGCCGAACCATATTTCTTTTTATCTGAGAAATTGTGCTTGCTTATTTATTTTGGAAAATTGACTAGTAAGAAATTTTGCATGTTTCTTTTCTTTTTCAGGAGTTCTGGCCAAAAGATCAAAATGTCTCATAGCTTAGAAAAACTTTAGATTAGATCAATATTGACTAAGTCATCTGAAGACTTTCGTCTCCTTCAGTTGCCTTTGGCCAGTGCTTGTCCCCTTGCATAATACCTTACGTAGTCAGATGGTTGCAGCTAAATATGTTGGTCACATGTGACCTCTGTTAGTCTGATGGTTATATTGCACTTGGTTATGCTCAGAATTTTAAAGATACCAGTTTGACATTGCTATAATGGATCACTTCTCTAATAAAGCCTGATTCACAAAAATAAATAGAAATGGAAGTTTCCTGAAAGTAGTTTTAAAGGCCATTGTCTCATTAAAATTACACGCTGTGCACTGATGACAATTTATGCTCATTTCCACAGCATCGTGACATGAAAAATATGTGCAGACACCCTGCTTCCAAAACTTCAAGTGGCGTATGTTAGGACTCAGGCTTCAGGAAAAATAATGACTATAGCTAATAAATTGTATGCTATATTTTGTGAAACAAATGATACTAAAGAGTTAACTTTTTTGGAGTGGTTAAGGATGAGGGAAAACAAATACTGTGTTATTCTATGGTATAAGTTAATCATTTAGTTGTAATTGCTGCATAGGGAGAGTGAATTAGATTTAAATTTGTATTTTCGACTATGAATTCAAACTGCATTTTGACAACATAAATTGAAACCCATGTGTTGATGATAATCCAGTATTGAGTACCCTGTTTATTTTGTTAGCTTTTACCTTTGAGCTTGAAAATCAGCTTCTTTTTAAAATTCTGGTTTACGATTTAGAGGAAAAAATTGGTGTTTAATGGATTTGTTTATACTCAATCTTCTATCAGTTTGCAATACTGTACAAAGAAAATTATATCATTGAGCATATATGCCTTTGGCGTATCCATTCAATTTGTATATTTTACAAGTATATATAACGTAAAATATTTATATTTTACAGTGTTATGCAAAGTTCATGGCTTTTAAAAAATAGAAAATCAGAAATACAGCCAGTGTTACTTCATTTTTTTTAACTGAAGTTATTTGGACAACCCGTGAAACTTTCCTGAAAGAAAAAGCAAAATATTTCTGGGGTGCAAGGGAAGTAAAAGGGGAGTAACAAGGATTGGTAATTACCTTTTTAAAAAAAAAAAACCAACAACAACAACAACAGTGATTACTGCTAAGACTTTTTGTTTAGTCAAAAATCTGTTCTCTCTTTCTGCAATGGAGAACACTTAGGAAAAAAAAAATTTGGAACCCAGCTGTTTTTGTTGCAATCTTGACAGTGGGAGTAACCAATTTTACTTAACTAGAAGGTGAATTAAACATTTTTTTTAATTTAATATCCTGTCCTATTTATTTTAATAGGCCTGCAGATAGAATAACTCACTTTTTAACGCAAGTAACGTGTAAAGATGCTGCACTAAAAACACATGGAGGGTTAACCTGTAAAGTGAGACCAAATGTCATTCTTCCTTCAAAAATGTAATGGATTCACTTTCTTGAAGTGGTACTACTGTGAAGCCAGAGGTGTGAAAATTACACTTTCCAAGGAAGAGAATCTTCCCAGTATTTGTTATGGTAACTGATGGAGAAGAAAAACATTTCCTGAAAGTGTAGGGTGACTTGAGCATAGTTTGTAAACTGCTGTAATTCCCTCACAATAAGGATATTTTGTTTTTCTCTCAGATTTGTGCTCTTAGAAGCTATATAACTACCTATGTATGTTTTTTTTCTGATAACTTGTTTTCAGCTTTTTAGTAATAGTACACGTACTTTTCAAGAACATTTCACCATTTATGACACAGTTCAATTCTGAGAAGGGAAGTACTCTGGTGAAGGTTGTTTACAGATGAGCTTATTGCAAACATACATGAATGTCAAGTATGTTACTGGAAAAACTGAAGTGCAGTTCAAACAAATTTGGCTCTCTAACAAGGTGTGGCATGCATCCCTAGTTATATCAGTGAAATCAAAATGTTTGTCTTGTCCCTCTGCTTGCTCTCTAATCATTGCTGTTTTGTGCTTGTTCCCTGTCACCACGTCATCCTCCTATGGAAGTGTGTTTTATTTTTTGTTTAGTTTTTCCTCTGCGTCAGGCATTCTCTTTTTCCAGTCATGCCTCAGAATTCATTTCAGCAGCTGAATCAGTGATTCCAAGCAAGCCTTACGGAAATAGTCAGATAAAGCAGCCTCAACCTATTCTGTCTGCTCCCTACCCCTCCCCTCCCCACTTCCTTCCTTAGGTTCCTCGTGCCGCACCAGAAATGGAGCACACGTTCTGAAGAGCGAGTGTGTACTCATGAGCTCTGCAGGGTGCAGAGACAAGGCTAACGCTTGACCTAATGCAAGTTCTTTTCTGATACCTTGAAAATATCTCAGTTAGAAAATGTGAAGCCATACTTGGTCATGAGAGAGATATGCATGCCTATAGGTAATAACTTTTTTAAACTTACGATTTTGTTTAGTCTTCTCCTTGTATGGTGAGGAAACAAGACAAACCTTTGCCAGCACCACCGCCACCCTTGAGAGATCCTCCACCGCCTCCCCCGGAGAGACCCCCTCCAATTCCACCGGACAACAGACTAAGCAGACATCTGCATCATCTAGAAAGCGTGCCTTCCAGAGACCAGCCAATGCCCCTTGAGGGCTGGTGCCCCAGAGACGTATTTGGGACAAGTCAGTTAGTAGGATGTCGAATAGGGAGTGATGCTTCCCCCAAACCAGGACTGACAGCAATTTCAAACATAAATGGAAGGCATAACCGCATAAGTTCTGAGCCAGGATTTATGAGAAAACACAGACGTCATGAATTGCCTGCAGAAAGTGCCAAGGTAAGAGATGTGCTGAAGCCTAAGGTGATGTTCTAATCCAGCATTGTCTTGCATTGGCTAAAGTACTCTTTTATGTTGATCAGTGTTGATCTACTTTTTCTGAAACTTTCTAATTGATACTTAATTAGGAGCTGGTTATAAATAAAAGAAAGGCTAATTAAATACTGATTATACTATTGCTTTACAAATGGCAATAGCTAAGTTACAATTTAATTTTAATATGAAGCCTTCAAAAAAATGCCTTGGAGAGAAAATTCTAGATTTGCTATATTCTTCCAGCAAATGTGTACTGTTGGTGCATGATGATAACTTCAGTTATGTAGCATCTCAGGTCCACTTTGAAAGTGCCTCATGCCAAAATTGTTTATACATTTATTGATGGGATATTGTGTTCCAGTTCCCTCTGTAACAGGTGAGGTAATGGCTTGGTAACCCCTTCGATCTATGAGGTATGTAATGTGTGCAGATAATATATACAAATATACTTAAATTGTCAGCTATATTATGTACGATAGTGCAAAAAATAGCTAAATATTGTAATGATTAGCTTTTCTTGTTCAACAATAAAACAGTATTTTAAAAGAGCATTAAATTAGTTATCATATTCGGTAGAATCTAATGGAAATATCTAACCTGCCTTGACCCTAAGAAAGAGAGCAAACCAATACATCCAAAGCCAAGTTATTTGTGGAGTAGTTTACTGTATGCATTTATTACTGGCTGCCTGGACAGCATCCTCAAAGAGCTCAGTGGCACAATCCCAGTGTTGCATTGCTTTATTTGGTATTATCATTATTAGTATTATAAACCTTACTGGGAATAATTAGCATTGCATTCCCCTTGTGTCTCCACTTTTGTTTTTCAGTTATTTACAGTAATAGAATCTCTTTAGCTGAATTTGTCCTCCTTTAGTGGATTCAAATCAGAACTCTAGCTGCTGGAGTTGTAATAATGACCAGCTGCTAACAGAGCAAAGGCTGTAACTTGTCCATAGCAGTTTTTGATTTCTCTTGGACAAACGTCTAATGTGTTTTCAGCGCTGAGGGTGTTCGGAGTTGTCACTTGCAACCTTTCCACTAGATTGTCGAGCTTGGTTTGGCTAGGGTGGCACATTTACTTGTCACTCTAAGAAGTATGTCTGCCTGTCTCTGCCTGCCATGAATCGTGTGAATGTCTGTGACTGTGATGTTTCTTCTGTCCAAAAATTTGAAGGATTATTTCCATTCATTAATTCAAGATAGCAGGGGGAGGAGTGCATGGAAGGGGTAGTTTTGGGTTTAGGCAGCTTTAGACAACTTGCAGGATGGTGTGCTGTTAGAAAGGGTTAGGGCTGAAGAAGGAATCAAGTGGTTGAGCTGTGCAAAGTTTGCTGGAAGCCGTCACAAATAGTCCAGATTCTACTAGGAAGATACCTTTTAGGTTTTCCTTTAGCTTTAAAAGTGCAATTCAAAGATATAGAAATTCTGCATTAAATATAACACAGCTGTGAAGGATGAACAAGAGTCAGGTTGTTTAATAAGAACAATGGAATCAGTGATTAATGTCTTCGTTCTACCTCCAAATTTGCAAGTAAGCAGTAGCTCGATTATGGTTTTGCTGACCCTAACCTTCTTGAAAGGAAATTTTATACTAGTGTTATACATCTTCCTTGTACTTGTCAAAATATGTCCTGTAAGTCATACTACATTGCTGATGTATAGAGAGGCTGTACCATGCTTCAGCTTCAATGAAAATAAGTGTTACAGGACCACAAGGCAGGGAGAGGAAGAAATAGTAATGCAGGACAGATCATCTTTCTTCCATGCCAGTACATCACACCTGTAGTGCTCTGAGTCTATGGAAGAGAGAAGGGAGTAGAAAATGGTGAATAAGGAGGCAGGAGTCCAGAAGGTGTGGGGAGTGGGGAAGAAAAAGAATGGGAACCAGGGGAGAAAGAAAGCTCAGCCATGAGATGTACATGAAATACTGGCAACTGCTGATGTATGATAAATTTGAATAGTCCCATGTTGGAAGTTAAAACAGCTATCTATTTTTTTTTTTTTTTTAACCACTGAGAGCTGTGCTCTGATTTGCTATTTTACTATCAAAAGACCGCCAGACAGGACATGCACAAAATAATGAAAATATACCAGCCGTCCCTGCTGACTTCCTAATGAAATTTTAACAGGAAATTAAATCCAGCGTAACTTTTAAGTTACAGATTGTGCTTCAGCTTTAGCAGCCTGTCACTTTCCTAAAAGTTCATAAAAGAAATCCCACATACTTACTGTATTGATAGCCATCATTTCTGAGAATAGTGAGAACAGGACTACCTGTAGACCAAGGAAGTAGAGAGTTAGATACAGGTTGTCAGTACAAAGATTCTTTCTGTCCTTTTCTGTTTTCAGTAGGACTTTAATTTTCTTGCTCTGATACAGTTGTAGATCTTGTCCTTTGCAGTTTGATGTGGGGTTGTTTACAGACGTTTCAAAATACCAGAATTTCTCTTCCGTAAAGGCCAACCCTAGTCTTCAAATGCACCCATAACCCCTATGGAGTTGTATGCATCTCTGAAGGCAGAACTTGGCCTTTTGACAACAAAAATTATTTTATGTAATATATGCTTTCACTAAATATAGAATTTTAAATAAAGACTAAAAGTTTAACCTCTTGACTGCTGGTACCTATGCTGGCAAGCATTAGGCATCTCTATTGCTAAAAATCAGTGGAGATAATGACAAGATTTCCAGGAAGCCCAAATTGTCGTATTAGAGGAATGTCTTTAAATTATTGTTGAAATTACGATAATAGCTTTCACAAAAAGTGATGATAGGCTAGAGGAAGGAGTTGTTTCTGGGATGATCTGAATCAGATTTCCAACTTCTAGACCTCTGTTTGCCAGTTTGTGTTTGAAGCACTGTTGGGTTTTTTGGGGTTTTTTTTACGTGTTTTTCTGCTCCTTGTGTGTGTTTTCATTTTTCTTTTTCTTTTTCTTTTTTTTTTAATAAATGGTATAAGTTGCGAGTTTGTAGGGTTACATTATAGCTCTCCCATAATTCTATTTGCGCATCTTATCTGGACCTGATTAGAAAAGAGAAAGGACTGCGACCTTAATGAGCAGGGAAGGAATGAAATAGATTAAATGGATTTGAGCATTACTGAAAAGAACAGACAGGAAGACAAGTATAGGAGTTATGAAAGGTACCTTGAGGAGGCTACTGTCTGGGACATAGCGAGAAATCTCTGGACAAAAATGCGGTAGTTTGGAAAAAAAGCTGAAAGATGGAAGAGCAATAGAAAGAGGTTTTTATTTGAGCCAAAAAGTTTGAGCTGAAGCTGGAGAGAGCAAAGGATTGGTTTTCTGAATTAATGCTTACAATCAGTGCTGAAATTCTGGAGATGACCATGGGGCAGGAAGGCGGCTAATGCCTTCTGGCTTGAGAGAATAACTCAAACGGTCGGAGAGGATGGAGAGCTAGGAAGGCACTGATTCCTGTAACCCACCGAGCTGAAGTCAGAGGTAGGGTCACACCAAAGCAACCCACAGTGGACTTTGCTTATGGCCATTCAGGAGTGCCCAAAGTACCGCTGACAAGTAGAGAAACTAAGGAGGATGCCTGGTGGGATGGGCAGAGAAGAGCAGCGACTTATCCGTGCAAAGCACTGAAAGGAAAAGCTTTGGGAGCTGCAGATGATACCAGGTTTGCCTTCACGTACTGTATTGTGGAACTATACAGCCTTTTCTGTGCTAGCATAGGGGAGGTGCTTTCACTTAGGTGCACAAGATGTACGTGCTTGTGAAGCGTGTCCTGCCTTTCTACTCATTTGTGCACATTAACGGGTTTCACATCAAGCACTATCCATTTCACATTTGGTACCTTTCCCAGACAAGCAAAGGTAGAGAACTGGGTGAATGTTTGCCCCAGAGCAGAGCCTATTTCAAATGCATCTTTGTGTACTGTAATACTCTTGCTATATTCCAGCATTGGTTAAGCGCTTTCTCATATAAGAGTGTTTAAGGTTGCAGTTCATAGAGAATCGCCTTTGCCAAGAGTGCATACCAGTATAAAAAGAATCTGTATAATAAGGGTTTTCTTAATGCTGTAGTTCTGTAAGACTACTGTAGTTTATTTGTGAAATGACATTAGAAATTTAAACACTGAAAATTATTTCATGAGCAACCAATCTTATATCTACATTAGTAATGCACACAGTTCTGCCATTTTCCTCTTCTTAATCTAAATGTCGTTTCAAAATCAGACAAAGTGTGTATCCCATTTTTCCTTAAATATGAAGCTTTACCGGTTAAAGCCACTTGGTCTTTGGCCTTTGTTGTTAAATATATGACTGGAAAATTGTGAATCATGCAATCCATTTAAACTAAACTGCTTCTTTTTTTCTTCTCAGTTTTTGATTACAATTTTTTCATTAAAAATATCTTTATTTTATATCTTACTTTTCTTTGTAAAACTTATGAGAGGATTTTTTATTAAAAAGCATGTCTACTGAGTCCTTGGTAATTTTAAAAGGAAAAAAAGCAAAAACTCGGTAGTATGTTTTGTAGTATTTGCACATTTAACCAGAATGATTAAACAATGACTTTAAAAAGGCAGATGGTTTTCAAAGAATAAAAGGAATGTGGATACTCTCCACCACAGGTGACTGTAATAGTGTAAAACAGAATTCTACGAGCACTTGAAACTGAAAATGACTGAATTGAAACTTCCCAGCTGCCATTTTAATAACTCTTTGGTTTTCAAATAGGTGAAAAATATTACATTTTGAATAGGGAAAAAGTGTTTCTCTACAGCTTTTTTCATTGCTTCTATGTTCCCCTAAATTGGGGGATCAGAAGTTTGGCATCAAAGTGATCAATATGCCTATTCTCAGAATGTGATGAGACTGTCTTTTCAAAGCAGCCACCTCCCTCAAGGAAATTGCATATGGTGTATAGCTTTATGTGGGAAAAAGGGGTATTTTCTGTGTCCTTTGTTTGCACAAAGTCATATATAGGTTGAAAACAGTGCAACTATTTTCACATTCCATTACCTGCTACATCTGGCAAAATACTGTGACACATGAGAAAAATTTGAAATTACTGAAACATTCAGCTTTGAGATTTTATTGTTTAAAGATCTGATCTAAACTTTTTAGTGCCCCTGGGCTTTGTGTAATGCCTTAAAACCTGTATCTTCACTCTTAATGGTTGGTACCCAGTTTTCATGAAAATTGAGAAATCTTTTCCATAAGAAGAAGAATATGATTTACAGTAGCCCAGCTTATAAGGGAACCCTCCCCTCCCCACCTGTAACATTAAAAATACCAGTTAATGGAGGCCTTACAGATGGCCTAAGAAAAAAAATCGTAGTTCTGCTTAATCAGTTTTTTCAAAGCAGCTCAGTAACGTATTCAGAGATCAGCTTATTAACTCAGAGCTGCTCCTCTAACTTTTTTTGCTTGAAAACGTATAGCTTGTTCTAAGAAGGATGGATTTGTGATTAAGTCACAGCAGTTAGAAATCTTTGCTTTCCCCTCTGTTTGCTTTTTCCAAGGTCACAGGCTATTTAACCTTTCTGTCTCCATTTTTATATTTTTTTTAATTGATATTATTCCCATTTTGAAAGTGTGTTGTGGGAATTTAATTAGTCTTGGTAAAGAGCACTGACACATCTGAAGAAAGGTGTTTAAGAAGTCCATGATGTTGTGTATAATTAGAATGTCCTTTTATCAGAATTGAGGCACAGCACCAAAGTTTTACTTTCTGCTAGATTCTTCTTTAAAATGCTATAGTTTCTTTCATCTGATTTTAAAAGGGATACTGGGTTTATATCTTAAGTTGTACCTTCACGTAACATTACAGTTGTGGTCTGGCCCAGTATCGAAGCTGATGGAATGAGCACTTCTCAAATCCGAATAGCCACTCAGGAGTAAAGCTCTGGAGTAATTTCTTAGTCATTTCTTGAACCAATTGCTGTTTGAACTGTAATCCTATGTTTATAGATCTAAGCCATTTAGTTAAATGGAGCAGCGGACAGCTCGGAATTATTGTTTCAGGCTGTATGCACATTCACAAGAGTAACATTTCATGAATTTTCACCCCAGCTCGTATTTCAGTCATAATATAATGTTTTGCTATTGGTAAAAGCCAATCAGGAATACAGTCCTGCAGGTAGGGGGTGGATTCTGTGGCCAGTACTGCACTGCAGTTTTTGAAAGCATTAATTTGTTTAACATGCTGTGCCTGTTTTTGGCAGGCTGTGTTTCACCTTTCTCTTTCATTTAACAGTTTGCAGTCTTGAAATCTTAGGTGTCTCCTAAGAAGTTCAGCCGTAACTGAGCAGTCCCTCTAACTGTGATACAAAATTACCTCTTTTGGTGAGGGTTTAAGCTAATGTGTTGTACAAATCCCAGTTGGGGTGAGCTGAAACACATGTGAAGAGAGTCATTTTGGAGTACAACTCTGTTGTGTGAACTCTTAGGAAGAAGTCTTTACCTATAGCCTCCTCAAAGTCTACTTTGTAATATCTGTTTGATAAACATCTGTGATGATAAAGAGGAGAGACCTCGGTAACATTTCTGTTGCTTTTTTTTAGGTATTTTCAAATGGTCATCTGGTAAATGAAGAATATGATGTCCCTCCACGGCTTTCACCCCCTCTTCCAGCTGCCTCCATCATCCCTAGTATAAAGTAAGTTAACTTTATCTATAAAACAAATACCTTTAAAAGAAAGTCTCTAGTGCTAAAAGAAAAGAGGGAAAAAGAAAGAAAATGAACTAATATCACTTGGTGATTTATTTTCCATGAACGTTAGTGTGTTTCTACAAAGGTAATGTAAATTATATTAAGTGGGAGCAGTTTTAATATTAATTTAACATATTACATTTTGAATTGTGGCAGATATTGCTCACAGGCATTTGGCAATGGGAGCAGATAATCTTCATTTCTGCTTCTACTACTACTGAAGAAGCAGGGTCAGAGCTATTACAGGAGATGAGAGATTCTAGGGAAAATGCAAGGGGTAAAGAGCATGATTTGTATGTTTGTGCGTTCTGTCACTAATCTAGAAATGCTTTCTGGACTTCCCGCTTGAAGGAATGGCTTAAAAGAAAAAAAGTATATCTGTCTTAAATGGAGTCAACTTCCCTAAATTGCCGACCATGTTTTAGGAAATGTTATTGTTTCAAGTTGCTGACTACTCCTAGTCTTCCAGTAATGTGACTATTTATTTTTTTAACAAGATATTGCTCTGGATAGCAGGTATATTTGGACTCTGAATCCCATAGAATCCTGTTTTTTTAACAGAACAAGAGATTTTTTTTTTTTAATTATAAGTGCTATAAAGTCCTTTGTCAATTGTTTGTGTTTTTGTTAGGAAATCGAAGGCTATCACAATGTCTGATATTATCCTACAGTTTCTTTCCAATGTGCTCTGTATTTCTTGCTGTTAAATAAAATAATGGTGCAGTCTATACCTGCTAATATTGGGAATACTCTCATTAGGATGTAATTTTGCCATATCTTTAGCATCCATTCCATTGTTGTTGAGATAGAGGTAACATTAAAGGTAGGTATATCTCAGCATTTCATTAATATGTTGTTTTTTTGCTTTCTCCAAGTGCTAGAATAAAGGTGCAGTGGAGCAGTGGCTCTTTCCTTCAGAAGCATATTCAGGGGGAATCAGAGCTGAATTGAAATTCTGCATGTTTACTTTCAGTTCAGACATTAATTAGGACATTAGCCAGACGTTTTTGTAGTTGGATGTTGAGATGTAACCTGATTGCCGCAGGGTCTCAGAGGAGTCATGGTTTAGTACCTCATGTATTCGTTTCCTCTGTAGATTGGACTCCTTGGCCTGCTTATTCCTCTCATGATACGTTCAGCTCGTGAATGCTCCACACGGTGTCAGTCAGAAAGAGACAGCAGTAACTCCAGAGAGACTAAACGTTTTGATATTCCAAATCAAATTATTGAGTTGTGAAAAGGAGAAGATTCTTATTTTTATTTTTCATATTATTGAAATGCCAAAACGTTCTGCGTCATGAAAATCCTATCATTTATTCTGTTTTTTACAAATGTAGTCAAGAATCAAACTACAATATACACCATATGGAGTTCACTGGAAATCCCACAAGATATTGTGGCAGTGTAGCCAGGCACAACATCCATATCAAGCCAATCCAAAACTAAAATGTGTACATTTACCTTGACCAAAAGAAATATCTTTGTTAATTTCAGTCTTCTGAATAGAAGAATGACATATTCCAGCAGCAAGAATATCTGCATTTGGTTAAAACCAAACCCAATAAACTTTTCAGGAAGAAATTAACTTAGATTTCTGATTTAGTTTTATGATCGTACCTTTTAAAAAGTATACAACATGTTTAAATTTTGATTATAAAATGTAAAAAGTATCTATAAAATGAAGGGGTAAGAAGTTCAAAGTATGTAGTTAGCAACTACTAAACTGTCACATGGAATAGCTGTTAAAATAAAGTAATCATAGTATATTGATTTTTGAAACACTAATATGCCCATTTAAAAAATTTTTCAATTTAATATTTTATTACCAGTAGATAATGTCCCTTATAATCCACAATGAAGTGTGGCAAAATGTAGGTTGAAAAATTAATTTTTTTGCTTCAAAAATAGCAAGTTTAAGGAGCTTCAACTATGTTTGCACCAGCCACAAAAATTGCTTTCAAAAAGACGACGCAAATAATGTTCTGCATTGATGTAGTTTGAAATGCCCGAGAGAATATTTTTACAGCTCTTAAGCTGACACTGCAGTCCACTCACACATTGGAGTATTTTCTGTGCTTTCTCCAAAATATTCTTACTTTCCTTAACTGTTCTGCTGCAATCTGATGCAAGTTTATTTTTGCCTACTCTTTTATCTCTGCAGAGCTGTGGCTGGCAACTAGTTTGTTTCATAGAGATCCAAGTAATTTTATTTTTTCTAGTTATTTTCGAGAATCTGTTTTCAGAAGTTTGACCAAAGCATACATTGACCGCGTATGAAATGCCTTAGCCTCGATAAAAATCAGGTGAAATGATCTTTAGCTGAAACATCGCAACTCTGAAATATCCCTATGGAAGACTTGTTTGATCATTTTTTACTGAATATAACATTATTAATATGACATTTTTTGCTAAATGATATTAACATAAAATCATTGTCATCTTTTATTTTCTGGAAACAATGCCAATTTATTTGCATTTTAGTAAATTAATTATTGATTGTAGTTTAGTAATGAAATGTGGGACTCCTTTTAACCAAGCATATGATCCATATTTTCCACTTCGCCACTATGTTGCTGGCCTTAGATGTAAAAATGGCTATTCTTTTGTTGGACTGGTTAAGCGTTCATGTAATTGTGTTGGTTGGATTATTTTTAGACCTTTTGGTCAAATTACTATTTTATGCGTGAAAAAATAAAATTTTCATGTCAAGGATACAGAACAATTTTTCCCCAAAGTTAGTAGTTTTCAAGCTAAATGGAGTTCGTTTTATTTGTGTGAGTAGGTCCCATTTTGCTGTATCAATAAAAAATTGGCTCCTTAGTCTCAAAAATGCTTTACACCACAGTGATATTTTCTGCAAGATCATCTTTATTTTTGAGTAGGTGATGAGGCATTCACTTCCAAATACCTTTTGTATATTATAAATACATTAAGAATATCTTGTTACTTTGAGGCTGTTGAGGAAAAGTAGCACAGAAGGATATTTCTCATCTTGCTGTCCCTTCTTGGTTACATTTATTTGATACCCTTTTTCCTTTTTTTATGAATACAGAAACAAACTTTGAAGATGAAATCATAGTTCTGTTAAGGGAGATTATGACTTTGAAATCCTGGCTCCCTTGAAATCAACTTTTGCTGTAGCTTTTCTCCAGGGATGTTAGAAAGGGCGCTGCTTGCATGAGGATTGCTAATCTCTGAGAGATGGAGGCTCAGGCGCACATAACCCGTACTTAGCTCATGGCCCGGCAGGCAAGCGAGCTGGGATGCGTCAGCCATCCTACAGTGACTCTGTTGTGTGCAGGCTTGCCCGGTGATTAACAGAAAATTGGGTACTCCTCTGTTAACGAGGGCAAACTACTTCAAATACGCTAGTACTAAGTGTAGAGTGTTGACTTGGTCATGTGGTCTGTCTAATTTTACACTTATTTTGTGAAAACAGACCTATGTTCAGGCCTTGGAAGATTAACGCTTTTGTATACATTAGCAAAAAGTATCGTGCAATAGGAGAGGAACTGTTAGACAAGAACTGATAGTTACAGCGTGATGTCCACACTGAACATGTTATGGGTATAGAGGCTGAACAATCTTGCCCCATGAGTTTTAATTATCTTTAGTAATTGGAACATAGTAGGTACATGCTTGAAGCATATCTTATGCTTTAGTTTAATCTGAAAAGACTCCAAGCTGTGTGCTTCTCAAGGCAAACCCAAGCACAATAAGCAGGGATGTTAAAGGGATTCATTTCAGAAGTATGGTTGTGATCCAGACTAAAACACTGATGTATGTGGACTGCAAGTTCATAGTGTCCAAGTTCAGTTTACCAGGGGGGCTTTTCCCTGAAATGCTTCTAAATAATTGTGAGTTGTTGGTTTCCCAGAAGTTCTGTCAGATTACAACTGAGCTGGACTTGAAATGACTTGACAAAAAACACTTCTGTTTTACAACTTTTTCTGTTTTGCCTTTGGCCCTTGATACTCAGAATGAATCACTTCTCAGTAGAATAGGGGAGATTGACATCTAGCTTCTGCTCAACAAACCAGAAAATACCAAGGCGTCTCTTATCAGAATGTAATTCTGACTTTCAGCTTTAAAACACTGCCAGCTAAGGAGTAAGGAAGGGGAACTAGAGAATATTATAATACAGTGTGCCATTCACTTCTGTATTCCTCTGTACACAGGTTTTCTAAAAATGTAGAGTAATAAAGTTTTTAAGAGCCTCATTACTGAAAATTTTCCCAATGTGATAAACAGTTGCCTAAATATTTCATACTTATATATGTTATGATATATTCATCTTTTTAATTACAAATAACTTTGAAATTTTTATCTCTTTATTTTATTAGATTGGTTTTATGTAGAGCAATAGAGTGGCACTGTTACAGTAGAACAGTAGAAGTTGAATCAAACAATTTGATCTTGAAAAAATATCAATAATTGTGGAAAATGGGTTAGACAATGAAAAGGAATTTTGGAGTCAAATATCATTACAAGTGGAGTCTAAACTGGAAGACTAATATAATTTTTTTTTAAATTACCAATTACAAAATGTTAATAAAATATATGATCCATGTGTAGGACAATGTTATGACCCCTACAAGGAGGGTATTATCTCTATGGTAGTACTGTAAAAACTTCTAATACTTCACAAATAGAAGGCACTTTTCAAATATTAATCTGGCAGATCTTTTCCTTTAAAAATGGAGAGAGACTTTACTAGTTTGAAGGACTTGTCTAAGGCTACATAGCACTCAGAAGTGAAGCCTGGCTTAAAACCTATGCGTCTGCTAACTCCAAACTAGTAGCGGTTCCTTAGCAGTGTTCTATGAACAAAGCGCTCTAGATATAGCTTTGTTATAGGTTCTTCTGGTTATCGAGTAAATTAGAAGAAAGCAGGAAGCAGGGGCCTGAACTAGTCGAGTCTCCTAAGCTTATTTAGTTTGTAGGTAACAATAAACAATCATCAGGAATCTCCCTGCTTGCCCATCTGAGCACTGGTTTTATTGGGATTGCTGATAAGACTATCTGTTATAATGTTGTACTTGAAGGCAGATCGTCACCTGAACTCAGTTTTATCCTATAAATTTCCTTAAGGGAAGTAGCTTAAGTAGCTTCCCAGCATTTCGAGAATCAAAATCTCTACTATAACCAACTTCAGAGAGCGCCTACTGCATAGGTCTGGATCAGACTCTACGTTCTGTTAGGTACAGTTTCTGTAAACGTATATCAGAGGGAGATTTTTTTTTTTTTCCCAGTTGTGGCCTTTGGGAGGGCTTCAAATGAGCTTGCAAAATTGGCTTCCATATTGGTCAATGTTGTGCATTTCTGATCTAGAGATTTATATCTCAAACGTTGCTATTTGCAAAAGCCAATAATTAAATTCACGTTAAAAATCAAATAACAAAACAAAAAAAAAATCAGATTTATGTATTTTCTATAAAACGTGCTCAAAACATCCTGGATTGTCAATGTAAGGATGCCTACACGTCCACAAAAATGAGAACCGTTATTCTATGTGGGCCTTTGAACTTTTTACCTGAGAATTCTACGGAACAGCAGGGTTTTTCATTTTTTTTAAAAAGAACCCTCACATGCTATAGAATTCTTATTATCCTGCTACATTTGTTACCTTCTTTTCTTTAAATGGCCGTACAACAGTGACACAAACCTCATCTGTTAAAATAGGAATAGAAAATCGAAGATGGAAAAAGCAATTTCAAGCTACATTGCTGTATTTACAAAAGGCCTTTTGCTCCCTCTACAGAAAGTGGTTGAAAACTGCAATACAATTTACAGTTCAGTGTCGTAAATCTTCTGTCTTTCAACCTTGTTTGAGTTAGTAGGTCTTTACGAAATAAATTGGATTCCCGTCTTTCACAAGCTTGTTCTTTTAAGTCAAAAAGAGTGTCTGGGAAGTTAAAAATACCTAGTGAGCTCTAGACTTTATGTTCAAAGAAAAGCACATCATCCACCCCTCTGCCTTCTATATATTTTTTCTTTTTTCTATTTAGTGACCCCCCCCAAACTACTCATGGTAGCTACAGTTATTCCTTTCTGTTCACACAGTACTTGGACATTCTGAAGTCGTGTGGCATCATCTAGTGTAAAAGGTGAAAGACGTACCTTTTTCCTTTAAGAAGTGTGCTATGTGTCAGATGCTGTTTGTTTTGAAAAAAGGAGGAGGTGGGCCTAGCCTGTCAGTTCAGCTCTTGCCTTACGATAAAATCAAACTAATCAGATCACAGGAAGAGAAGTTATGTCCACTCCCTTCTCAGGTTTCCCTTAACAACTTCCCTAAATGATATATTAAGTAGATGTGTCTTGTAGTGTGGTATGTAGTTCAGTGCAGGGGCCATTAGGCATACTATCAAGCCGTACATCAAAACAGCCATGAATGCATTGCGTGTCTTTTTTCTACGTTCCTAAGCTGTTGGCTTTTTTTGTGGCAAAGAATAAACGTACTATTTACTGCATACTTTAATATCCACATAATTTTTGAAGTCATACACTCACTGCTGTTGGTGTAAGTTTAAGAATCAGTGGGTTTCATGTATGATTGAAGTGAATTAAGCCTTTAATGTAGCCCCTTGTATTTTGAATGTTTTGTTAGCTTCTTATTTATTTTAATGTATCATTGTAATCACTGTAGACAGAGGAACTATATGTATGTTGATTGCTAGACCTATAATCTAGTTGGTTATGTCTTATGAAAGGTGAAAGATAAGATATTGATCTTGTCAATATCTAACGGAATCACTTTTGCCAGACGGTGCTACCTAAAATAAATTTTTTGCCTATCGTTTTGTTTAAGCTCATCCAGTAGAAAACCAAATAGTAAGGTTTTTAGTTTTAAAAGAAATCTCGCATCCAGCAGTGTTGAAACTTGTTACCTATAAATGGAAATTGTATAGTCTACGTCTTTCCTGGGCTTCCACTGCTTCTAAAAAGTAATAAGAGTCACTGTTTAAGATGACACTTTCAGTTTAGAGTACAGATAATTTTAAATTACAGACAGATTCTTGAAATTTGATAATGGTATGGCTGGAGCAAGGCTTCACTGAAAGGATGACTTTCCACTTCCTCACTGAGTCCTGCTAAATATTCTTTGCTCTGAATTAATTTTTATTTTGTTCTTTTGATAAATGCACGCAGGTTAAAGCCATTTAAGTATTTGTTTAGTAGTCTATTTTTTTGCAATTCTTGGCAATTTTGTGCTTTCTTAAAGCGACAGAAAAGCCAGTAACTTTATAATTTTCAGTTTGACATGGCGTTTTTTGTTTCCTTATATGTAAAGATGTATATTAAGGACATTTAGGCTAAAGGAGATTCTGTAATAGTTAAACTAAAGCTCATCTTTTTCACATCTCCATAGGTGCCCTGTTCCTCTAGCAAACTCACTGTCTGATAAGTTGAGAGACCACACAGATGATGATGATGATGAGTACAAAGTTCCTTCTTCCCATCCTGTAACACTGAGCTCACAACCACCTCATTGTCATAACGTAAAACCTCTTGCTCGGTAAGGTCATTTAGCAGTTTGGGAGGCAACTTATTTACAAAAACAAAAGAAAATAATAAACTTCTTATTTCCTCTCCAAAATGTAATGTGATTCAACGTTTATACTCCTAGTTAAGCTACCTGCCTTCTAAAATGTCTTATCTTTTCAAGCTTGGATTATTTATGCCTCTGTTTCGTTTGAACACCACCACAATCATAAACCTGTGATGTTCGCTGTATTGTATCGCTGCTGTGTCAGAACTCAGCGTTTTCGGCTTTTGAATACCATTCCTGCAGTTGATGCTTTTTTCCCACAGGTTGAGGTTTTCAGACCTGACTAGGAGATTCAACCTCACAACTGCTGCAGATGTTATTTTTAGGAGAATTGTGTGACCAAGAACACCAAAGTCAGCTTTGAAAATCTTAAACTTTCACATTTTATTTAATATATTTTAAGAAGCACTACAGTACTGAAAAACACATGAATCAGCATGCTGTGTCCGGCAACTGTACATGCATACTTTTATTCTCTTTCTATCCTACTTGTACAATGTCTTTTTGCTTTTCAAGCCTGTTTCATGGCAGATTTTCTGTGTGCTTCTCAGGAAGAGAACCTTTTTTTATTCAGATGGACTCTCTCTCTTTTGCGTTAAATATGTTCTAAAATCATATCTCCAAACTGTCAGAGTGTTTGAATTACTGATGGATTGTGGCAACGATATTTGGAGCCAAGGGGCATGGCAACTGAAAGCTATGTCACTCATGGTGAATTCCTTGGTCCTTGACTCATAAAGAAAATCTGAATGTCTGGAATGAAAAGAATAAGTCTGGAAAAAAAAAGGGCTAATTCCCTATTGGTCTTGTAGATCAAAGGTATGATATTAAAATCAATTATTGATCTGCAGAATTCAAACTCTTCTACTTTTAAAAACTGTAGTGACATATTGCTACTCCACCATAAATTTTTTTGTTGTTATGTTAACAAATTTTGATGATGAGCAAAATTCTATGTCGGCCAAGCAAAAAATGAAAAAAAAAAAATCCAAGGTCCTAATCCTTTTTATCTCTGCCATTTTTTATCTGGTTTTGTTGAACAGCTTCTGTGTGGGAATGTCTTTATCTGCCATGTCAAGAAAGGGCTGTGTTGCTCACGTGACTAGAGTTACCTTTCTTAGATAGGAAGAAGAGAACAGTATATGGACGGGTTGCCTTGGTTTAGCAGCTCCTGAGGGCTATATCTAGATTAGTAAGTAGTGTAGTGTAGTAGGAGTGGGTCTGTAGAGTGCAACAATTGATGCCAAGAACCCGACATCCACACTGTATGTTTTGGAAAATTTTAAATTCAGAGTAGCCCTACTATGGTCCTGTAGGCAGATTAACCTGTCGTAATTATAGCATACCAGATGAACTCCCTACAGGGCATCTTTTAGGTTGATATCATCCAGAAGCAATCCAGTCTGCATGCTCTGATACCTCTCTGCAATGCATACCCAAGTGCTATATGTAACAATGACCAGGAGATTTGTTTGAAAATCATTCTCCTAATCTGAACTAAAATGCTAATCTTGGTGCACCCTGAAAAATTCTTGGGAAAATCCCCAGCTGGAAAACTAAGAACTTCTCAATTTCTGATATACTGAGTTTGCAGAAAAAGAGTTGAGGGATGCCAATTGGCTGGGCCAGGATTTCACCATACCGTTAGAATTATTCATAGAGGCTATACATGGAAAGCAGATTTCCCCAACATTTTTTAAGGTTTTAGTTTAGTTTTTAGCATGCTGGGTCTTGTGCTTATGTTGTTGTTTTAGCATTAATCCATGACTTGCTGTAGAGAAAATATCCTCCCCTTGCCATTTAGATCACTCTGGTGATTAAAAACAGCAATCATTTTATGTAAAAATATTATCTTAGAACAAACCACTTGCCTAAGCATTAGAAAAAAAGGAAACATCTTTTGAATATTCGTGTATACATATATATAATGTTTCATATACTTAAAATGTCTCCTTTTATCAGTGCTGGTTTGTAAAAGCCGAGATGAACCTTTCAAAAACAAGCTTGATTCTAGCTGATGCTGTATGCATCATGTTGGAGCTGGGCAAAAAAAAGGAGAAATGAAAAGCTCCTTCCTATTCCCCAATAAGTGAAACACTTGTGGAAAGAAACTTTTTCTCTCATGAGGGGGCCTTAAATATTTAAATTTTTCAGTATTGCTTAGCAAAGCTGTTGATGACAATTGATTTTTTTTCTTTTCTTTTTTTTTTTTTTTGTCATAAACTTTGAGTTCTGTCTCGCAGACACCTTCTTTTACCTCTTTCCTAAGTGTTGCTTCCTTAGCTCTTGGATAGTACTTAGAGAGTTCAGTAAAATAAAGAACCTGCAAAACTTCTTGTGGATGGTTTGTAATTTATGAACTACGTAATTCCTCCATCCTACCCACAAATTTATATTTATTCTAAGATTTTATGCTCTTTTGCCAGTAGATGGGACATGTCTAAAAATAGTACAAAAACAACACATTAAATGATTCACAGTCTTGTTTTCTAGCAGATAAATTAATTGTCTGGTTTGTTACAGCTGATCTCCTCCTCCCACGTACAGGCAAGTTCAGCAGTAAGAAATGGAAGAAAAGAGTTTCAGCTTTAGTCTGACTTAGCTACTGTTGGAGGAATGCTATATTATTATATTCACTGTCTTTTCCTAATAAAGCTGTTTCCAAAAAGAAAAGAAAAGGACAGACGGTTTGGTTGTTAGTACTGAGTTGCTACCATTCTTTCTGGTGTTGTCTACTGCCAACGTAAACAGCTATTTCAGCATGGCTTCTAAACTGATCAGTTAACTGGGCTGGCTGTGGCCTGGAAACTTCTTCAGTGGTGCCATGATAGGTTGTCTTGTTGCCTGTGGCTGGTTAAATTATTGAAAATGAAGAATAGATTCAAATTAAAGTTGAAAGGATTCTTAGTTATTTAGTGCATCTGCTGAGGAGTCAGAGAGTGTTGTAGCAACTGCATTTGAGAGATTGAACCAATCTAATTTCAAAGATAGAAGAAACACTTCCTCTGCCACTTCCCTGGGGAAACCAGTGCATAACTAAATAGCTGTTACCATTAGATTTTGTTTTACCCTTTTTTTTTCCAGTCTTGTAATTATTTCTTATGTTTATTTCATTACCCCTGGTTATAACTCTTGGGACCACAAACACAATTTCACTTGCTCTTTCCTGTTTATATACTCTGAATGATTCCAGACCATTATTCATCCCTCCTTTCCATATGGCCAAAGTGGATAGAACTAGTGTTCACACTATAGATGAAACCCAAAATCTGAAATTCTAGCTGTATCTGCCCCTAGCAGGTTTGCCAGCGATTAGTAATAATGGTCCATGTAATACCTCTCTCTCCCACCTTTCTCTCTCTCTCCTCCCCCTCCCACCTTTCTCTCTCTCTCCTCTCTCTCCCACCTTTCTCTCTCTCTCCTC